ATGCCCAAGTCACTTATTTTGGAACACCAACCTCGATTTCCTAATCTGTAAAGTATTTGGAAGAGATGGCATCTGCAGTGCCCTTTTGCTCTAAAGTATTTCCACTTGATAAGTGTGAATTCAGTTACACCTATCTCCATATGCAGCAGATAATCCAAAAGTTCAGAGAACCATGTTTTATATAGTTTTGGACTGCTTTTCTTTTTTTTTATGCTAGTGGTTTGAGCTCATTTTTGCATCAGCAAGAGGTATAGAAGTGCCTTCTTGCCCCCTACCCAACTTCACATTCTAGGTTTTCCTTTAAATATTACACTGAGACATATAAAGGCCTCTATCAAGAGTATTCTTATATTTCATGCTCAGAGGGTTCCATATTTCTGACCCTTTCATGAGTTTCAAGACGATGAATTCTTCCAAGTCTCTTGGAAGTCTTAATTTTCACAGAAAGATAATTTGCTCAACTTTCCTTTTCATCACTCCAGTCAACAGACATTTTCCCCCTAAGGGTCAAAGGCAAAGGGATGGAGAGAAAAGCAGATATTCCAGTCAACGTCCTCCTCATTTTCCACTGTTAACACCTTCTCTTCAGAGATGCTAAAAAGACAAGCATGGTTAGGAGGTATGATTAAGTGAGTAAAGTAGCAAAATCAATAGCAAAAGCCTTCATAGATGTGCATGGTCGTATTTGCTAATGTTTGCACTTTCTCCACAGAAAAAGAAAGGTAAATGGCTTGTAGGCATGGAAAATGCATAGCTTCATTCAATTAAGAGAAATAAAAAGTAAAGTGCTTTGATATATCTTTACAATCAGATTTACAAAGATTCTAAAGATGCATTTAGTCCAAAAAGCTGTAGGAAAACAAACATGTTTTAAAAATATTGCAGCATAAATTGATACAATCTCTATAGAGAACAAGTCAGCAAAATTGCAAATGCAATATCAAAACTATGATTTAGACCTAACAATTCCAGTTCCTAGAATTATCTAACATATATATTTTATTTTCATTTTTCTTTGAAATGAACCTTCTCCTAAGTGGTACAGCACTGTTATGTCCTTTCTCTTTATTGAGGTAACTTTGGATTCTATGATACCAAATGGTGTGCCATAATGCCATAATTGTCACACATGGTTGACAATACTTGGTAGAGCTCACTGATTAAGACAGGCTTGGAAGCAGGAGTTGCATCCGCTTTCTAAATATGCCTGTGCAAACTCTATGAACTTAGAAGAACGACAATAGTTCTTTTGTCTATAGGGTTGGTATCAGATGACACTTAACAACGACATACGAAGACAAAACCCTTGTCTCCATTTTTTAGTTGGATGAAGTGTCTGGACTCTGTAAGATGCTGCTCTTGTTTTGGTTGAGGATCTGTGTGGATTGTTTGCTTGTTTTTATTTTAGCTTCTTGTTTAGAGTCAACAAGACCTCCTGGGGGGGCCTTATATTTAAAAGTTGGGCCAAAGAGATTATATTTTAATCCATTGTTACTATATTTTAGAGGAACGTTCTTCTAGGTAATACAGCACTCCGGCCAATTTTGTGTGATGAGAGAAGCTGGGTTTACTGTGACACTGAATTTTGTGCCATTTAGGTTTCAAATGCCATAATGGAACAACTGTGCGATAGATGTGCCAAACACCATAATGGCTACCCATCGTGGGCAATGTTTGGTAGAGCTCTAATATTGATTCAAGTTTGAAAGCAGGAGTGGCATCCACTTCCTAAACCACATGCCTCTGGAAACTATGAACTTGGAGAAACGACGATGGATATAGAAAGGCTTCAGGCCTTTTGTTTATATCTTTGTATCTATATCTATCCCTTGTATATAAAAGTCGGTTGGGACCAAGGGTCTAGTGTTTTTTTATTTTAAGGGAACATTCTTCTAAGTTGTACAGCACTTCTCTGTCAATTTGCTGCATTGAGGTAATCTGGGTTTGCTGTGATGCTGAACCTTGTGCCATTGGGGATCAAATGTCATAATGGCTACCCATGGTGGACAGTGTTTGGTGGAGCTCCCAGTTTAAGACAGGTTTGTAAGCAGGAGTGGCATCCACTTCCTAAACCACATGCCGCTTAAAACTCTATGAATTTGGAGAAATTATGATAATTATAGAAAGGTTTCAGGCCTTTTGTTCACAGGGTTGCTATGAGTTATGCTGGACTGGACGGCAATAAACAACAACATATATTTTATATATGGTGGTCTAGTGGCAAGAATCTGCACTGCAATCGCAAAGGCACACAGTTCAAGGCTACTCACTGCACTACGGGAGAAGGATGGACATTCTCCTTCCATGTGGTTTACAGCCTCTGAAAAACCATTGGACGGTCAGCTATAGGCTGGTTATAGATAAATAGATGATAGATAGATAGATAGATAGATAGATACATAGATAGATACATAGATGGCTAGATGGGGGAAGGAGCAAAAAATTGGAAACAAAACTAATACATAAAATAGAAAACAAGTTAAAACATTAGGAAACATATGATCGAGTACCATTTAATTATATTTAAAAAGGTGCATAAGACTACTGTTATAAAAATACAATGAATGCAGAGGAGGGCAGAAAAGGAAAAGGATGGATAGATAATGAACACCATACTGGAATAGGAGAAGGGAAGGACTATATTAAAGAAATGGATTATTAGACATTATATGTATGACAATTAATGATCTGGAGCAAGACATATATTAAAAAGTAAATTGGGGAGGGAGAAAAAAAACACTCAGCATAATGTCTTCCATACTCATACGTTTTGCGTGGAGTTTT